AAGAGCCTTTGGAACAGGTCATCTAACTATGCAATTAACAGTAGAACATTTTCACAGGTCAGATGTGGAAGTCCTACTACCTACTTCGATGGAATCATGATTAAGGAAAGAGGCCAATCTGAGTATTAATGGCAATGTTTATTGAACTAAAAAAGAACCCAAACTGTCCCATAATCAGGGTGTTATCTACTGGAAACTGGTTTCAACCTAATAACCTTCAAGTTCATGATGTCAATCTACTATAACACAGATTGTAAAGGGAGCATCATTTAATGGTTTAAAAATGCTATTTTCTAGTGACCCTTGTACTTCTTTACCCATAGTTCTGATTCAAGATACTTAAATTGAAACTTAACTTTCTATGAATCAGAAGCAACTTAGAAGAGGTATAGTAAAAAAAGGTTACTAACACCAAAGAAAAAGGTTTATGTATTTTTTTATAACTGCTCATTCAGTACTTCAGGAAATATTTTACATGTGGCTATAATACAACAGTTACCTTGTAAGATGCTAAGATAAAAGTATGGGTGAAGTACTATCCCTGCACTAAAAAAAAGGAGCTCAAAGTTTAATGTATAAAAGATATATATATATAAGAACAAAGCAATTCCTCCCTAACTCTGATTTAGTAAGAAATGTAAAAAAACTGAGATTTGAAGAAAGATCAGAGAGAATTTTGCTTCCAATAGTGGATGAGTTAGTCTGAGAATACTGAGAACAAGTAGAACATCTAGACAAAAATAGAAAAAATGTGCTTGAAGGCATCAGAGAGCTAATAAGGCAGGAAAGATACATGCATATGGCCAAGATCCAGTAGGAAAAGGAATCTCAGAATTACAAGCGTGGCATTTTAAGCCACTTTTCCCCTAGGAGACAGTGCAGAGAGATACGGAGACTGAACATAGCTTCCACCAGATCTCTGGTTCAGATAAAAAAGAGGTGGAGTTCTGGGCTGCTGGTGATGGGGGAACTCTAGTAAAAGCCCTAGGCTTTGAGTTGATACTAGAAAGTGCTGGATATGTGGAATATTAAACTGTCAATACAATGTCCTTTGAAGGAACTATGACATTTTTGAATGATCTTAACTGCTGACCGGATTAAGTGATGACCACTTCCTAGAAATAACCTCAAATATTTCCAGTAGGAAGATCACACCATCCTAGGCCTCAAATTTCCTTTATCATTATCATATGCAATAGCTGTCACTCAATCTAAACGGACCAGGCACTCTACAAGACAAGACAATGTGATCAAAATCTAAAATACAAGAGAAATGGACTCAATGGCTTCAAATAATGGAATTATTTTTACATGGCTTTTGTAATTATTGTTGGTTACATATTCAAGGAAGTGAAAGTCAAGATCAAGAATTTCAGCAAAGGATTAGAAATTATAAAATGAAAAATAGTAACTGAAATTAAGAACTCAATGACTGACTTTAGCAGCAGATTTGATAACTGAAGTGAGATTTTAGTACATTGGAAGACAGGTCAAAAGAAAACATCCAGAATGAAGCAAATTGACAATGCAGGAGGTAGAGGAAATAATTTTTTTTTTCCTTTTTGTCTTTTTTCGTGACCAGTAACGGGATCACAACCCTCAGTGTCGCGCCCGTACCGTGACCGGCAACGGGATCGCAACCCTCGGTGTCGCGCCCGCACCGCACTCAACCAGTGAGCAGACCGGTCTCTATATGGGATCCGAACCCTTGGCGGGAGTGCCGCCGCGCTCCCAAGCGCCGCACTCTACCGAGTGTGCCACCAGGCCGGCCCCAGAGGAAATAATTTTTCAAAAGCCTAACATGTTTAATTGGTATCTCAGGAGAAGACAAAATGAGGCAGAATTAATATGTTTAAAAAAAAAGACCCCCAAATTCAAGAGGAGTTTATGACCCAAGCAGCATAAATGCAAAAGAGAGACAGAGAAAGGGGAAAAAGGAAAAACCTACAGTTAGGCACCTCCCCATAAAACAGCTGAAAACAAAAAGAAATATGACTGAAGGTGCTAGGACAGGGGTGAAACATTTGAAAGAGGGGAAATAAGAATGATAACAGATTCCTCAAGGAAACTATAAAACCAGAAAATAAGTAATTGGTTATCTTTAAAGTGCTGAAATTAAATAACTGCCAAAAATTCTATAGCCAGTAGAAAGATCCTTTAAAAATGGAATCAAAATTAAGACGTGATACAAAGAAAAACCGATTGAATCTGTTACTAAAGGATGTTCCAGTAGAATGAAAGTGATCCCAAATGGAAGACCAAAGATGTAGGTGAATAAAGAACTACAGGGACTATAAATATGTGTGTAAATGGAATGAATATTGGCAGGACAGCACCATGAAAGACAATAAGAAGACTTGTGGAGTTTGAGGTACACAGAACATTAAAATACATTAGCACAAAAGCACCTAAGTCAGGAAGGAGGTAAAGCCCAGAAAGAGGTAAATCTATTAATTTATGTCAGACTTTTTGATAAGTCTGGGATATAACTCTGAGGTCTTTTACGGAATGGTCACACGTCAATTAACAGGGATACGTTCTGAGAAATGCGTTGCTAGGTGATTTCATCACTGTGTGAACACCAGACTGTGTACGCACACAAACCTAAATGCTATAGCCTACTACACATCTATAATCTGTGGGCCTACCATCATACATGTGGTCTACCATTGACCGAAATGTCATTACAAGATGAGCAAGATGACCTGTAACTAACTGCCAAGCTTAAACAAGGGAAGAGAATAATTAAAAATGTTCAAACAATTCAAAAGGAAGAAAAGAAACACAGTACAAACCAACAAACAGAAAGCAAATACAATATGTAGATTTAAACTCAAACACATATTTAGCAGTTACATTATAAGAAAAAAATGAGTACTCACCCAGTGTCTATGGCTATTTATGCCACCACTCCCTCCAGAAAAGATTTTAAGGAGCATAAACATTTGAGTAAATAGGAGATTGGCAGGTGGAAATAGTGTTAGAGGACATTTTAGCTACAGAGAAAACCTCACACATGACGACAAGGAGGCGTGGAGTGGTGTGATGACTGTACTGTGTGTGGCTGTAGGTCAGGAAGCATCAGAAGGAGCTACAGGAAATGGACCTGGAGAGGCAGCTCAGGACCATGTAAGGGGAGCACCCTCTATACCTGCTGAGGAGTCCAACATGGATACTGAAGAGAATGGGGTATCCTTGACAGAGTTTAATCACATAATGAAATGGACCCACTTGTATTTTAGAATGTTCACTCTTGCAGCTTCAAGAAAATTGATCAGAGTGTGGAGGAAGTTGCATAAGAAAGGGAGACTGAAGACAGGTGATTAGTTAGGGGACTTGCAGAAAAGATGACATGTGCCTGCACTAACACAATGGCTTTGGGAGAGGATAGTAGAATACAAACCAGACATGATGACTGAAAGGAGGCTGGAGGAGCTGAATAAAATAGTGCCACAGTGCCTGAGTCCTGAAGAAAAACTGTCACTTACATGATTCACACTACTATTAGGGCAGAGACATGCTTATTCTTAGAAAAGGTAATAAAAAGAGGAATGTTTCTCTCAAGTGGGCCAGGTTGTTAGAGCTGGCCTGAACAAAATTTGGAAATCTAAACTGGCTGCTTGATGAGTGCAGAATTAGAGAAAAGTTAATGGTGTGGTTTCAGTGTTTAATAGCATCAGGCAGTACAAGCATTTTTTAAGAAGTTAGCTTTATTCAGCAATACAGGCCTTCTCCCAGACTGAGTAAAGTATAAGAGTAAACACAACTAGCAATGCCACAGACAAGCTATTTTTAGGAATTCAAATATTTTTGTGGAGAAAAACCTCAAAATATACTACAAAAACACATCTTTTGAGAGATACTAAGATCCAAATTTCAGATGTATATTTTAAAAGATTAATACCTAAATATACACACCAAACAGATATTTCTGTATTAAAAACTCCTAACATCCTTACCATAATTACATCATGATTAAAGCTTAAATTGTAAGAGTTTTAGATCCTCTTCAACTACTGATATTGTAGTTTGTGTCTAAAAGAGTTTGTGCAGAAGAGAGAAGTATTCTTAAAAGTGAGGCATCGTAAGAATTCACAAGCACTTATGTGACTTTATAAAAAGGATTATACCTGAGAGACGCACATCATCTGCTTAATTTGAGTTTTCATTTTCTCATTCCGGTTACCTGAAAAACAGAAGGCTTTAATTGCTTTTTCTTCCCTTGCTTTTTTAACTCTATATTTTCTTGACTTCCCCAACACTAAAAAATTATCATGTTCAAATCCTAAAAGAAAAAAACAAATTAACCAACAGAACTAACAAGACTAATTGACTTTTAAGAGAATTACAAATATAATTTAAAAAGTAAATTCCCAGTATCTACAATAAAAATGTTATCCATGCTGTTTTTGAGCAAGAATAAATATCTGAGATGAAGCTCTGTCTTCTCTCTCAGATCTCTGCTCGGGTAAATGTCTTATTTTAGAAAGAGTCACTCCTCTTTTCTCCCTCAGAATCTGTTACCAGGTGCGGTTTAAAACACCCACTAATGCAAGCAATAGCCAATTTGGGAGACGGTGTTTAGAAACATTTTCCTCATCAGTAAACACTGCTACCCTGTAGCCTCCACTCTCAGAGCCCAAGTTAGTTTATAGCTCCAACCACCTCAGTAAGCCTTAAAACCACACAGCTACAGAGACGAGTATTAAAATCATATGCCATCTCCATGAAGCTAAGAAACAAGTTTCTCCTATTGCATGTGTTCAATACTTAGAGGTATAAAACATGACCAGTACAGATCCAGTGCATGTTAACTAGTTCTCAATGTGGGATGGAAAAAAAAAAAAAAAAAAACTTCAGTGTTCTTTGCATTCCAATTGCTATATCACACCCCAGCAAACCACCTCTGCCCAATGCAAACAGACATATATAGAAATCTAACGATATGTGTCTACGACTGTAAAGCTTAAGAGGAAATTCAGGCAGCTGAGAAGCAGCATCAGTGTACGAAATTAAAGACAGGAAGGAACAAGGGGTCCAACCTCCTGAGACTGATCTTACCTCCCACCTCTCCATTTGCTAATTCATCTGACTCATTTCCTCCTTTATTTTGACTCTCAGATTCAGACTCATACTCTAACTGATTCAACTGTGTAATGCAATTAGTCAAAGCCTAGAAAAGAAGCAAAAGGGGATCTGTAAGAAAAAAAAAAAACAAACAAACAAACCCAAGGACACTTTAAAAATCCTCTTGCCTGAATTAAAAATGGTAGGATTTGAGAAAGAAAAGATAAATTTCACATACAGAAGAAATTCCAAATAATTTATGAAGATACTGGCTCTTCAAGGAGGTGGGGCATAACTCTCCCCTCTTGGACTGTGGGCTAAGCATAGCAACTACCTTCCAAAGAGTCCAGTATATAAAAAGTGGAAAAAGAGTAATTTTACAGCAGAAAAATTTTGACTCTCAGATTCAGACTCATACTCTAACTGATTCAACTGTGTAATGCAATTAGTCAAAGCCTAGAAAAGAAGCAAAAGGGGATCTGTAAGAGCCTCTCAATTTTAATTCAGCAAATTTCATGAGAATTCCTGAGAATTAAGCATGTATTCATGGGAACAAACTTACATTAATATTATCATCTTTGTGAGTAAGAGCTACTTCTAAATCTTTCTGAGACTTCTTAAATGATTTGATTTGCTCACTCAGTTCAGCATGTGATTCACTCCAGTCTCTGATTTCCTGCTGCAACTGAAAATTCAAAACATGTCAATTCCTACAGGTTAGGGCTTTTGCACTGAAGACATGAGAACAATGTGAATGAGACTGGGAAGTAAGAAACTAAGCCCCTCCCTGGCCTGTCACTATGGGTTAAGACCCTTGCTGAGGGAGAGGGGAGAGTGGTCTTAACGCTCAGAGCTATAGCGTGAACAACAGGTCTGTCAAAGAAGTTGATCCAGTTCACAGCATCCTTCAGAAAATTGCAGCCAATTCAAATAACTCACTTCCAGTAGGAATGGAAGAGCATGTCCTATCATCTCCCAAGTCCAGACTCCTGATTATGTAACCTTCCCTTGGCCAATGAAGCAGTTAACTACTCAAACAAGGGGTAAAAAAATACCTACTTCTTTGGTCTAAAAAGCCAATCTATTACACCTTTGAAGCTACTCTAGTTAGTAGTTGGTTAATGTTTGATAAGACAAAGACTAAACACTCTGACAGCTACAATAAATTGTACAGAAGAACAGGAACTCCAGAACAGATAAGAATGTGGACATGCACTCAGTTCCGGAAGCACAGTTTAAACTTTGCATATCTAAGTACAGAATTCTGCACGCTCATTTCATTACCTTAAAAACAGATCTGAGAAAAAATATTCGTGAGGTAATGGTATTCGGTTGTCTAGTTTACATGACCTAGGACATTCATTTTTTTTTTTTTACCTGCTCTTTTTTCTTCTTAAGCCTAGTATTTTCTTCTTGAACCCGGTGGCATTCAGACTTCACCTTCTCTTCACTAAGCTTAGCTTCATTAAGAGCAATTTGAACCTAATGTTAAAACATTCCTATTAGTGAATTAATTCCAAAGGACAAACACGTTACACTTTCCCAACCAGAAATAATGGAGTTTTCATTTTCTGCATATTTTAGCACACATCAAATTTTTGCTTCTCAACAAAACTAAAACATAGTATAACTATCCCGTAGGAATTGTAGTCAGCTTTACCTCTGAAAATTCTGAAGCGTTCATGGAGATCACATTGTTTAACTTCTCTATAGATTTCCTGTTTTCTAATATCTGCCGTGTGGAAACAACACAAAAAATGTATTAGGATTTCAGTAGGAATATATGCCAAAAAGAAGAAACAATAACAGTACATATCACAGTGCCATCCTGTATGTTTCAGGTAAAAGCATGTGAACCAGTTTTGGCATAGGGGAAAAATCAAAACCTTAAAGAGGAAACATATTTGAGAACACAAATATTTCATGACATCCACAGCCTTCCTGGTTATGAGCTAATGTAGTAGATGACCAGACAGAAAGGCGAAAGCAAAGAAAATGAAAAAACTTTCAAGTAAACCAATTCAAATGAGTAATATTTTTCTAGTGGTAGAGAAAAAAGAAAGAAACAAACAAACCCAAGGACACTTTAAAAATTCTCTTGCCTGATTTCAAAATGGCAGGATTTGAGGGAGAAAAGATAAATTTCACATACAGAAAAAATTCCAAATAATTTATAAAGATACTGGCTCTTCAAGGAGGTGGGGCAGAACTCTCCCCTCTTGGACTGTGGGCTATGCATAGCAACTTCCTTCCAAAGAGTCCAGTATATAAAAGGTGGAAAAAGAGTAATTTTACAGAGAAAAAACTAGGAAAGACTACCTTTGCTAGGTGGTCAAGCTCAAGTGCGTGTATGACATACAGTAACAGTCTCTACTGTCTTTGCAACTTTCATATAATTCTAAAACTAAAGTAAAAAGTTTACTGAAAAAGAACTTACAAAACAAAATATAAGGACTGTTACAGTTATCATAGTTACAGTTTCTTAGTTGCTCTACATGTTTCAGAGGACAGAACCAAGAAATATGAAAATTACCCAGAGCTGAGGACAAAAATACTTCCATAAAACCACTTTAAGTTATATTAGTCCTTAAAATTCCACAAAAATGGACAGAAGTAGGTTCAACTTCTCTGACTCCCACTCTTACTTTAGATAACAGCATGGAAAATATCATGTTCAACTCATGCAGTACACAAAATATTTCAAAAGCCAAACTACAGTAACACTTAGCAGCACAACTCTTACCAAGTCCCGATTCCTGACAGTATGTTCTCTCTCAGATCCTAACAGAACACGAAGACTTTTAGCTGTGTCATCCAGAATTTCACTAGTTTTTTCAAGTGTTTTGAGTTTATCCTACAAAAAGATATTAAGATTAGTAATAATTACTCATTACTTTTACTTTCGTTTTCAGAATGTAATCCCAAGAAGGGAATTTTACCTTATATTTAATTGCTTCATCACGAAGTATCATATTTTGGGGGGGGGGGGGGTGAATATATTTCTTTGATTCCTTGATCTATATAAAATAAAGCATTCAGAATTCAAAAATATAAGTTATAGTTCTACCAAAACTTATTTCCAAATAAGCGACCCCTTACAGACGGAAGCAGTGCTTTACACATATGATGACTGCTTAAGATCTGAATGGTTGGTAGGAAATAATAAGAAAATATGATTTAACAATACAATAATAACTAAATTTATAGTAACTATAAGACAGGTGGAAACAATTCAAGCAGGAACAATGGGGGAAAAACTAAAAAAATCATTATACCTTCTGTTCATAATCTGACAACTTTTGTGCAAGTTCTTGATTTTCTCTTGTGATGTTTTTCACCTTGTTAGAAATTTGCTGTTCAGTGACTAAAAAGGGGGCAAAAATCAATAAGTCACTCAATAAAATTGTTACCAAATGTATCAGCAGCAAAGACATGTTATTTGGCACTATGAGGAAAAGAGCTTCTTTTCAAAACTTTTATGACTTTTTACACAGCCGTCTGTACTTAACAGCAATAGGGATATAAAAATATTATTAAAATTTAAGAAAAATATTCTTATAATAGAATCCTTATTTAAATGAGATTCGAGTTTAAATTTATTTCAAAAAATGGGAAATATAGTAAAACGTTATAGCTTGATGTTCCTCTCTGCGTGAAGCACATTTCTTCCCAGAAAATGGGATCCCTTCAAATACATGTCATTTACAAAGAGAAACAAAAAGAAATGCAAATATATTGATTTATATTTCTTTTCCTCAAATTATCTAGTTTTCTTGTTTGTTTGTTTTGTTTTTTTTCCTTTTTTGTCTTTTTTCGTGACCGGTAACGGGACTGCAACCCTCGGTGTCGCGCCCGTACCGCGACCGGCATCGGGATCACAACCCTCAGTGTCGTGCCTGCACCGCGCTCAACCAGTGAGCGGACCAGTCTCTATATGGGATCCGAACCCTCGGCGGGAGCACCGTCACACTCCCAAACGCCGCAATCTACAGAGTGCACCACTGGGCCGGCCCCCAAATTATCTAGTTTAATAAATGTTTCATGTATTGATTAAATCATTAGCACAGGAATGTTGTTCACCTGTAATAAATCCGCATTGCATCAACATCTAAAGTCAGGCTGCCCCAAATTAAACTAATTATCTTCTCTCTACTCCCACAATTTATTCTTCCTCATCTCCTATCCGTTGGTATCACCACCATCTACTCCATCATCCAACCTAGCGACCCAGGAAAACTACAACTTTCAGGAGCTAATAAGTCAATCAGACACATATAAGGGATTCACAAATTGAACTTTTCCAATTGAGTTTATACATATTATCTTGTTCACTTAAGTCTAAAACACAAAGATTACACTATTGAGTACAAAAGACAAAATAAAATTTTACCTTGATAAACTCTACTCTTTACCTAGAAGAGAGAGAAATAAAATTAAATTTGATGTTAAACATTTTATTAATAAAAATATATAGTTCATTAAATTGTGAGCACTTTCTGTGCCCCAATGTCTTTGAAATATGTAAAGTCACCTTATATCTCATTATATGGATATACAATAATTTAACAATTCCCCGACCATACGGATCATTAGGTTGTGACAAGTTTTCACTCTAATAAATACTGTTCCACTGAATGTCCTTGTACATGATCTTTAATGCATGATTGGTTATTTCTTTAGGACAGATAATTAGACATGATATTATACTATATAGAAGGATATGACCATTTGTAAGGCTTCTTATACATATCACTAAACTACTTTTCAGAGTGGCTGTATGAATTCCCAATTCTACTGATAGTGCATATGTGCACCCTCCTCATTCTTAATCTTTAGGTTTTGATATAAGGGATTCACAAATTGAACTTTTCCAATTGAGTTTATACATATTATCTTGTTCACTTGAGTCTAAAACACAAAGATTACACTATTGTATAAGGTTAGCTTGAACGATAATCATTAATTTGCATTTATGTTACTGAAAAAGAAACAAAAGGGCCAGTGATTATATGACATCCCTTGCATTTATGAGTTAAAGTATAAATTAATTTACTCACAACAAGGACAGTTCTCCAGAAGAATACACCAAATGAAACAATTCCCAAGAAGGCTGTTATAAGTACAGGTTCCCATGGCAGTCCATAGAAATCTGGCCCAGGCTGAACATCATCAGGCAATGTAGCAACAAACTGAAATAGACATATTAGAAATAATGGGAAGCCTTAAAGAAATTTGCAATAATGCACTCACAAAGAATCAAACATAGAAATTCTATGCCAAACTCCACCAGATAACTACCCCCTCAAAAAGCTTCAATAGCTCTTACTGCTTCAAGGACAGGATGTTGGCAGTCTCATTTCTTGTTTGTCTAGTAGTGTTTTTAAGTATTACCAGTCTAAATGTCTTTAAGTTGAGCATATATTTCCAGTTGGCAGAGACCCTGCCACATCACTTTGTCTAACACATGGCTAGAGTCCCTCTGGATCATACTTTTCTCTTGGTTAAGTGGTTTTAATTACTTAAAAAAAAAAAAAAAAAAAAACCATGTAAGACCAAAAATGTAAATATAGTATAAGTAATCAACTTTCATGGCTGCAAATAAAACCAATATGATGGTAATGGATGTGTTATTCCTCTAAAAATTTAAACTTTAATTTTATTCTACTCGTACATAAACAAGGAAAAATGCTAAGTCAGATAGCTCCTGATAACTGGTCTAGATAAATCCTAAATTTAACTGTCTTCTATAAAACTCGGCCCCTTAATTTTAAATGTTTCCTGGGAGATAGTCCATTAAACACCTGCCTGCTCCACACTGTTTTTGCTGCCCTCTACAAGTACCCGAGTTAACTACCATACTGACCCCACCCCCCAACAGTGCCAGGGGTTACTGGGAAAAGACCCACTGGCTGTAAGTGTTTGGATAATGGTTTTAAACACAACACAGTGCCTGTCACTTCTAACTGTTCAGTATGAAATGAGCAAGTGATGAAACTTCAAATACACTCCCAGTAGCCTCCCTAAACAGCACAGCCACGTCCTGCCTGCCTCAGGCCTGACACACTCCATTTCCTTGGCCAGGTCGGTCAGGGCACCCACTCCACTCAGAACTCGTCCACCCGCCTGCCAGAACTGGGGTCCCTCCATGGGAACAGGGATCGTCACCTCCAGCAGCTTGGCTGTGAGGGCTGTGTACAGCACCGACAGGGGTCCCCAACGTGCCCTGTCCGACGTGGCGACAGGAGGCACAATGGCAGGGACTGCCTCCATCGCATATGGACAGGTAGAAGGTGAGACGCTTCCCTGCGGAACAGCACACAACTCGTCTCCTCTAAGGAAGACCAGCTCACAGAGGAGACTGAACTCAGTCTGCCCTGCGGCCAGCTCTTCGGCCACGGAACACTGAGAACCCTGTTACCACGGTGACGATAGTGAACACTGTGAACACCGCGAGGGCGGGGCCTGCG